AACAATATATTGTTAGTTGCAAAGTTGTGTCCAACCCATTGCGACCCCATGGACAACCTTCCTCCAGGCCTTCCTGTCTTCTACCATCCTCTGGAGTCCATTTAAGCTCACGCCTACTGCTTCGGTGACTCCATCCAGCCACTTCATTCTCTGTCGTCCCCTTCTTCTTTTGCCTTCAATCTTTCCCAGCATTAGGCTCTTCTCCAGTGAGTCCTTCCTTCTCATTAGGTGGCCAAAGTTTTGGAGTTTCCTCTTCAGGATCTGGCCTTCTAAAGAGCAGTCAAGGTTGATCTCTTCTAGGACTGACCGGTTGGATTGCTTTGCAGTCCAAGGGACTTGCAGGAGTCTTCTCCAGCACCAGAGTTCAAAGGCCTCCATTCTTTGGTGCTCAGCCTTCCTTATGGTCCAATTTTCACAGTCATCTATTGCAACTGGGAAAACCATACCCTTGATTGTATGCACTTTTGTTGGCAGGGTGATGCCTCTGCTTTTTAATATGCTGTCTAGATTTGCCATGGATATCAACAGATAGTGAGCTTTATAAGAAATCCTTTGCTTCTTTAAATGCTCTACAAATCCATCTGTGTCTCTTGAGCAAATGACTGAAAAAAGCTCAAATTTTGCTCCACAACTGACCAATTCACATGTGGCATCTGATTAGGGGAGGATAGTTAGACTTCCAAATCTCCTGTTACACTTTTGAATTAAAGCTGCCCTTGCTTGCCCCAGTATTGGTTGGATTAATTGATTCAATGCAACATGTTATCTTCTCCATTGACTTATTTAAATATGTTCTGAGAAAAAAAAGTCAATAGCTTATTTCCTTGACTATCTGCCTTTTTGTATACTTGTGTCAGCATTCAGTATTCAGAGGACAAGTGTCAGAGGATAATTAGTTTTTGGTTTGGACATTTGATTCCTAACAGTATTATTGAATAAACATATGAAAGGATGATTTGGACAATATGCTCCTGAATACCTCTGAATTAAATGGTACATGGTGATGACCTTGGGAGGCAGAAGGAAGAGCCTCAGCTTAGACAATGGTCTGATAAAGAATCCAAAGGAAAGGTGGGAGTGGAAGAAATATCTCAGAAGGAACCCCAGTCTAGTTTTGGAGAGATTAAAAGTAAGGGAGGGGATAAATTCTTTCATGCTTGCAAGTTTCTCTTATTGTACCCTTACAATAAAGGTAGTGCTAGTACACATAATTGGTCTTTTCTGTCTTGGGCTACCTTGAATGGTTGATACTGATTAACCCAACCTATTCAATTATTATTTTTATTATTTACTAGCTGATAACCTGGAATTGCCCTGGTATTTATTTATAGGGGGAAAATGTCTGCACCAAACATAATTTCTAATGTTGGATTTTCCCCTTACCAGAGGGAGACCCCTTGTGGAGTACTGTGAAGCCGTTATCAGGGCAACTCCACTGCACTGTACAGTAGAAGCCATTTTACAGCATAACAGACTGTATCTTAACAGAACACACACCCCAAGGGGGTGTTACGAGTGTCTTACCCCCACAGTATTTTTCTCCAGACAGTAAATCATCTGTGTACCAAGTTTGGTTGAAATTGCTCACGGAGGTCCACAGTTATGCTGAAACACACACACATGCACATACACACAGAGAGAGACACACACAGAGAGAGAGCCATATATATATATATGGATTCCTAGGCTTGCTGGCACATTTCCATCTGGCTTTGATTATTGCCACTATTATTACTTTCTGTTGCTACCCTTGGGGCATCGCCCTGGACAGTGCCTGCACAAGAAAACCCTTTGCCATCTTGGACTGTTCCGGCCTGGTTGGACCTCCTCAAACTTACAGAAGAAGAGGGGGATATAAGACACTCCTCCATATATTTTATCTGAACTGCAACTGGTCTCCAGCTACTCTAACCACCCGGAACGCTGAGAGCCAGTTATG